GGAGTAGGAGTAGGAGTAGGAGTAGGAGTAGGAGTAGGAGTAGATGTAGGAGTAAGAGTAGGAGGAGGAGGAGGAGGAGGAGGAGGAGGAGGAGGAGAGAGGAGAGAGAGGAGAGAGAGGAGAGAGAGGAGAGGAGAGAGGAGAGTTGAGAGAGGAGAGTTGAGACAGGAGAGAGGAGAGAGGAGAGAGGAGAGAGGAGAGAGGAGAGAGGAGAGAGGAGAGAGGAGAGAAGAGAGAGGAGAGGGGAGAGGAGAGAGGAGAGGAGAGACGAGTGGGAGGAGGCACAGCAGAGGCAGGCATGACAGGAGGAGCAGGTGGAGGTGCAGGAGCAGGAGAACGAGGAGAGCAGAATGGTTCGGGGCGGTGGAAGAGCGATTCCGTCGCGCCCCGGCATTTGTCCACAGTTTTGTGTCACGCCTGGTGCGCCACGGGCCGGCATGACCGTGGGTACAGGAGCCTCCGCGAGCAAACATCTTGGCACATGAATCTGCCTCTTCGCATTCCGGTTCACCGCGGCAGAAGCTTGCCGGTTGCCCAAGCTATCTCCCGCCTGACAGGTGTGCACGCCTCTCGCCTTGTCGACGCATTGTCTATTAGATTCCGCGTGTATGTGTTCTCTCGGGCTGTCTGCCCTGTCTGTAGCATCTTGAGGGATTCCTGGGCCGTCCTGGGGCTCTCTTGGCCCGTCTGACGCCTTCGGATGCCGTCTTTGGGGTCCTCTCTGGGCTGGCTTGGAGTCCTCTTGGGGCGCTTTAGGGCTGGCTTGGGGGTCTCCTGGACCGTCTTGGAGCCCTCTTGGGGCTGCCTTGGGGACATCTTGGCCGTTGTGGGGCCTTCTTGAAAGCTTCTTGGGCCGTCTTGGGGTAATATGTTGTGGGGCCGTCTTGGGCTGCTGGAGCGCGAAAGTCCGGCAATCTTGCAACAGCTCAACGAATGCCAAAAGTTTGATCTCTTTGGGCGCAGTCTTACGCCCACATTGGGCCTTCTTGTGGCCAAATTCAACCATCTTGGAGGCATCTTGGGGTCATATTGGGCCATCTTGGCCGTATTGGGGAAGTCTTGCAACCGTCAGGTAGGCCATGTTGGATCAATCTTGGACAGAAAAATCCCTGCCTCCCACTCCGCCCGTGTCCGCCCAGGTGGCCGCCGGGATGCGCCGAAGGCCAATTTCGGAAGGTCACAGGAAAGCTGTAAATCCCGGCACGCCAGGCATCCCTCGCAGGCTACTGGGGCCGCTGATCGAAGACGCTTGCGGCAAGTCCCGCCGTCCCCCCCCCGCCTTTTTGGAAACGCTTACGTGGTCAAAAGCTGGGCCAAAAGCTTGGCCAAGTCATTGGATAATGTGCTCCCCCAGCCGTTGTGAGACCCTTGGGGGGGGCGAGGGGGAGAAAGAACGGGAGAAAGAGAGGAGGAGGAGGAGGAGGAGGAGGAGGAGGAGGAGGAGGAGGAGGAGGAGGAGGAGGAGGAGGAGGACAGGAGGAGGAGACGGAGTCCTGGGAGCCTCTCAGGGGCCATCTTGGGGGCCCTTGGGGGCGAGTGGGAAGCCACCTGGCGGGCTGCTTTCACGCAGTCGGGACCACAAACAGCAACTGGAAACATGAATATTCAGACCTCGGGAAGATTTGGAAGATGCTTTTCTACCGTGCCCGTTGCGCTTGGGATGCCTACCCCAGCGTACCTGGGGGTGATGCATCTCTGCCTTGAGGAGGAAGTGCATTCCGAATACACCCATTGGACCACCACTCTACCTCAATAAACATGTGAACAACCTTTTGCTGCTAGCATGGTTCTCCCAGCTGCTGGCC